CAGCATTAAGTGTTCAATTATTGATTGATATAAATATTTATAAGAGTAGTAATAACAATGGTGAGAATGTGAGAAGATATGACAACAAATTGAAATTATGACCATCCGATTTGTCCTACTCATCAGTAGTATGGTGTGACATATGAAAGAAAAAACCACCACCAAACTGATCGACTACCTGACCTAACAGTTCACATGACAGCTGACATTGAGTAACCTGGTTATAACAACAATTACACTTCTCAACATCACAATATCCCACCCATTCCCACTCTCTTATCACCAGAACAACAGAACATCAATATCGATCCAGTCCGTAGACTCCAAATCCATCATCTACAGTTAATCGAACTGATATTTCAAAGATATTTGACGATGCTTATTGAGCTATCCCACTAGCGAAACCAAGATGTGCGTGTCCTGTGCTCAGTCAATACCATCTCGATTTCGATGGAGTGTTTCACTCCATTGTGTAATCTTAGAGGTATATTCACACCAATTTGTGTATTCCCACTACAATCGATCGACTGTGTGTCACGGAGTATGACAATTAGGCGACTGTGTACTTTTTCATTCTTTCGTCTGACACATCATCTTCAACACAGATCCAATGCTAGTCGATTGTTTTGCACCCATCACCAACACTGAACTGTTCGTCAATTAATCAGACAAAACCAAACACACACACACACACAGTATGATCCTGCGTATTGTGTCTCTCATGTAACTACAACTCACGCACTCATTTGTAGATTACCGATGTTGGTAGTGAGTCTACTCGAGATGAAAAGGATTGGTATAGTATGGTGTTTGAATGAATTAACGATTTCTTTGTACTTGTTGAATGCTTGATTTCGAATTCTAAATACAGTACATTCGTTTGTGGTTATCTAGTACTTCTTGATCCGATTACGTTATTTCTGGGATTCTTAGTTCATACTATAATTCAAATACTTCTAATCATCATATTTGCGTCGCGATGGAGCCTTTGATGGAATTGTTGGATATACATTCAGATTTTGATGCTTTTGAGGATTACTTTGAAAGGTTCGAAATTTGGGCTATGACCAAGGAAGATAATGAGGATGTTAATATTGTAGCACATTTCCTTACATTCATCGAAAAAGAAGCATCTAGCTTATTGAAAACTCTGGCTTTATCGGAAAAGCCCATTTCGCTTTCTTATACAATTCTCAAGGATCTACTGCTAGACTATGTTCGTTATTCAAAATCCGAATGTCGTAAGGGAGGAAGATTTCGTAAAACAATTCATGAGGATATAAAAAACTCCGCTGAATTTCTTCATTCCAACCCAGTGCATACTCAAGGTTATGCAGATAATTCATTGAGGTGTTGTGATGCAGTTCACAAAGACGGGTACACGTTTGGTCAGTGTTTGTCCTGCGGCAAGTTCCACTCTTTTAATTCATGTAAACTTCGTAATTCTAAGTGCTTTAAATGTGGTGATATTGGACATATTCAGTCAGTTTGTAATACTACTGTTCATCTTGCTGCAACTAATAATAAGTCTTGTAATTCTGATTCTATTAAGTCGAGTATTTATAATGATCATTTATCTTTATCAACGATTTCAAAAGACAGTGTAGAGTCATATAACAGTTCAGAGTTAAATGAAACTCAGAATTCTTGTGAGACAACAGTTTCTAATCAATCAACTTATCAGATTTCTCATGTTATTGTACCATATATGGTTTTTCCTAATAATTCACTTATTTCTGACGAAATTCCTTGCAAATCTGAGGAAAATATGTTAAATGAACCTAGTCATGATCGAAAACCTGAGGCAGTCTTGATAGATGCTGGTTTTTCTAATGATCCTTTACTCTGCAATGACATTCTTAATAAATTCGAGGAAACTATTTCAGAAGAGACAAAACTTGATGTCATATCAATTATCATTTGTCCTCATAAGGCATTTGTTTCTTGTGGGAAACTTGTTCAATGCGAAGCACAAGTACTAAATGAGTTCGATTTTGATTATAATTCGGATGATTTCATATCAACAGCTGTTTATCGTTTTCACAAAAACACTTCTAATGTTCACTCCAACCAATGTGAGAAATATGTTTTAAATGAATCCGCATCATTCATAACTTGGGGATATAAAGATTCGATATTATTTCGTAGGGGAAGGTAGTCTAAAAGTCTATGGTTCAAATTCTAGGTAGCAGCGGTTTTAGTACACAACCGACATGCTGATTACACAATCCCAGGACGCAGGTGAGTCTGTTTCAATTTCGGTTGTTAATTCCAAAACTAATGAGCACATTCTAGATAATACAGAGTCTTTATTCAATACACTGTCGGACAGATACAGGATGAACTTAAGAAGAAGACGTACAATCGATTACAGACACACTCCAATTTAAGCTGTGGCGGATGTGGTGTTTGAATGAACTAATCATTCCTTTGTACCTGTTGAATGCTTGATTTCGAATTCTAAATACAGTACATTCATTTGTGGTTATCTAGTACTTCTTGATCCGATTACGTTATTTCTGGGATTCTTAGTTCGTACTATAATTCAAATACACCTGATTACCACACATAGCCTCCTAGATTACATCGAAGTGACACCTCACGATAAGTACATAACTTGGCTTAGACTATCGTGATAACCAGGGAATGCGGCTCCCTTAATGACTGTCTAGAAAGAATGGAATCTTGCCGAAAAGCATAGTTTATCGGAGAGAACAGACTACAGAGGTACAGAGTAATGACGCTGCCACATGAACTAGTCTGTGATATCCGACTGATTCATCCGCATCAGTCATACTCGACCTTGATGATGTTGAGCGAATTGTTGAACCTTCAGTGATCTGCCGTTGAACGTAAAACACGGTTCGACTCGATGGAGGATTTGTCTAGAACTCAACGGCACTCCACTGGCCCTACACATTGAAGCATATAATGGATTCGTGTCTCTCCACATTTCCATCCACAAAGCCAATGGACTGAACACTCTTCAGTAACTGTTCCCCAAGTGTTTCCGTGTTAACCGTAACATTCTGTCAATTGTCGGTTATAGAAATTCTTTCAGATTCCATATGCAACCATTAATTTGATCTGTTTTACTTCTGTGTTGAGAATACCACAAAGAATTCCCACTGGCCACCAATCACTGGGATAAAGAAATCATTAGATTACTAACTGACTAACTATCTAACTAACCATACAGAGATTGAAATAAATAGAGAGTCTTCACTCGACCTTTATGTCACTGATGAATGTGCACAGAAAGAGTACAGAATGAAGGAAGTGGCAGTGCTTAACCGGCTTGTTATATCGATTCAAAGGGTCGACTGTCAACACTGAAAATGGAATATGTGTGGACGTGTGCGTGTGTGTGTGCGTGTTCATCTGCAACACACATAGCAATGTCGGAACAAGTCTGGAGAATTTGGAGATCATATGGGAAACCAATGGAGGAGCAGTGTGTGAATGGTATAGAAAGGCGGTATTTCATCGTCTTCTCCACATTGTCCACCTCATCACTGTCTTACTTCCACACCTTCTCCCATAATGTTCGCACTCATGATTGGCGTGTTCTGGGACGAGTCACCTGTTCATGTCGAAGGTAGTAGAGGAATGAAGGAGAGAGTGGAATGGACACGAACTGTTAGCGTGAATCATCTACCCTTCGTATATGGATGTGTAAGGGTTGTGTTTTTTCCATCAGTGCGTGGTTTTTTCATCTGATTTTGATACTTTACTTTTTGTCTCCTATTGCTCTTTGTTTTCCTATGGATATATACTCCGGTTATTTTTTATCATTTCGTTTTCTTGTTTGCGCTTTCTTGGTAATTTTTGATTGCTTTATTCGTCAATTAATCATCTTTTGCGTTGTCATTGATTGTCTCATATTTGTGATAATACTTTTTTTGTTGATACTTCCAATGGAATACTTAATTTGATTGAGCTTGTATGTTCTCTGTCCGTCTCAACTTGCTAACACTTTTCACTTCATTATCCATTCTATAAACTTGCTGTTCCCAAAGAAGATTAAATTAGGAATAACTGGCGCAGAATATTGTATTACTGTTAAGTAACTAGAATATATATGTTTATATTTCTTTTATCATAAGCTTTACATTGACTTATTGGCTATTATTGTATGATTTTTTTATTCTTAACTCATCCCAAATCTTTTGGTTACAGTCTCTCACACTCACAGTCACTCTTAGCTTGATCTTGTATAACGGCAATTTTTATTTTACGGCGTGATGCGGTCTAGTTTGCTTGTATATACTACGCATGTCTGGAATATATTATTTCTACAGTGGAGGCTGAGACTGCGTTCTCGACTCAACAGACAGGACAAAGCGCGAAGGACCAATGAGGATTTAGAGCTGATATAGGGCTACTAGTGTTGTTTAACGTTTCACTGATCTAGCACAAGGACAAGGTCATATAAGTCGGTATTCTGACTGGTGATTTTGTCACGTGATAATTGACAGTGGAAAAAGTCATAACAAAACCACTTAACAAGATAAACGAGTCTTCAAAACTCAATCAGTTAAAATTCGTGGCATAGACCAGTTCGGTTCTTTACTGTCCAACACTTTTGATATTCATGCATACATTTAATTGTGTTTAGTGTTCTGAAATATCAGCAAACAATGAATGTTGTTATGATCAGTTTGGAATTGAAATATTTAAGTTTTCATTTACTGGTAAATCATGTGCAAGCTTCTCTCAATGACCAATCAGACATACGTCTTACCAACCCAGCTTATTTTGACCTTAATCTAAACTAATCGCGTTAATGAATGTAAGACAAATATCATTAACCAATCATATTAATGTCTTCGGTCGTGGTCAGAATGAAATTTTTCAATGTCATTTTACATCTGAATTATGTATACATAACAACTACCGTGACGTCAGACACTTGTGGGTGATTTCAAAGACTAAGAAACAAGTATTGAGGCTTCTGTTCATATTCTCGATTGGTGTTTGTTAGACTTTATTGATGGAAAATGGCTCAATGTGTACCTCCTACAAACAGTGTACAAGAATGTGAATTGAGGACATCAGAAATACCGACTCAACAATTCATCGCCACCAAACTTAGCGTAGATGAAATATTGAATAGGTATGTTGGAGAATATGGAGTTTGGCAATGGAGTATTGTGTTGCTAATAGTTTTAAGTTCTCCTCTAATGGTGACGTTACCTGTATTTGTTAATGCAGTACCTGACCATCGTTGTCGGATGGAAGATCCTATCGAAGAAATATTCAGAGAATACAATTTAAGTTTTGAGGAAGCCGCTGCATTTGTGGGTCCATGGGAAGGTGAAATTCCTGTAACAATGATGGGTTGTCTGAGATTTGCATTGGACTGGAGCAATACAACCCTCATCGAAAACCTACTTTTGAATAAGTCGGTTGTTTCATTTATCGATCGTGAATCGTTGAAAACTAAAGCGTGTGTCAACGGTTATGTATATAGAAGTAAAGAGTTCCAATATCCCAGTACTGTGGTAGCGGAATTTAACTTGGTTTGTGATAAGAGTATGCTTTCGCCTCTTGGAACCTCTCTTTTTATGGTTGGAATGTTGTTTGGATTCATTTTCGGTGGTTATTTTGGTGACAAATTCGGCAGACGAAACGGTGCAATTGTATTCTCTATCATTGAATTACTTGCAGCGGTTGGTGTTTCCTTAGCCCCTAATCATCATATCTATCACCTGATGAGAACAATTGTTGGGTTTTCTAGTACAGGAAAAGCCGTCCCCCTACGCCTATTACCAATTGAGCTAACTAATGCCAAATATCGATCATATTTCACATCGTTCATTGTTTTGGGAATTGTATTTGGACATCGTGCTATAATGACTGGAATAGCTTATTTGGTACGAGAATGGCGTCTTCTCAACGCCCTGTCAACGCTACCATGTCTCACATGTTTCATATACTTTGTCTTTTACCGGAATCACCACGATGGCTATTATCTCAGTATCGTGTTGAAGAAGCCATCACAATATTGAGAAGAGGGTGTCGTATCAACCACATTTTGAAGAAAGACAAATCAAAATTATCACAATTCGACAATTACCTGAAAGATTTAAATAAAAACCAATCTCATATGGGAAAGTTATATGTCCATAGTGAACCTATAAGTGTTTCTGAACGATTTATTAATTTATTTAAATCAACCAAGAAAATTATTTGTTGTAGACAAATGAATAAAGCACTCATAATATGTGTTCTAATATTTACGATGCATTCGCTTGCCTTTCTGGGTATCACACTATTTAGTAAGTACATCAATTATAATGTTTATATAGTAACTCTTATCAATGCATTAACTGGCATTCCAGGACCAATTGCTGCAAGTGTAGTTTATAGATGTTATAAGTATAGACGATTTCCATTAATGTGCACATATATAATTTCTGCTATATTATTATGTATTGGTGGTGTTTATACAGTATTATGGGAACCACTGACTGATAATGTATTGAATATATTCTGTAATGGTGCTCTTATTATGTATTCTGCTTCAACGATTATGCTATCGATTTATTGTGCTGAATTATTTCCATCATATATGCGTTCAAGCGCTGTAGGCATATCAAATGGTCTAGGTAGAATCGGTGGGATCATTTCAACACTTGTAAATTATACTGATTTTACTTTTAAACATGGTACGCCTGTACTGATTTATTCCGGTTCCTCAATGCTTCAAGCTTTCCTACTATACTGTTTACGTGATACAAGCGGTGAAGATCTTTCTGATGTTGACAAATGCATAGAATCTGCAACTGATGATCATGTTCATCAAAATGGATCTAATAAAAGTATTGATGCAGGAAGAGAAGAGTTTGTAATCAATTTGAAAACATTAGAAGACCGAATAAAATCGTCACCAACAACTGTAACTAATCTCTAGTATTTTCACATTTCTAAATGATACAATTTTAATGTAAACTAACTGATCCCAATAAAATTTCTTGAATTATGTTGTCATTAAATTTCATTATCTTTGTTAGCTATGTCCATAAACAACCAATCAAATCGTTGCCTTAGCTCCCACCACATTCATCTGGTCTGATGTGTCTGTAAACTTTCCCTGATGCATGTGACCTGCCAACTGAAAGACATTATTATCCTATTATATTAGTGTGTTTCATAATTTATATCCATTTTGATTGGACACGCAATACTGGTGGGCATGTATGTGCCGTTTCAATTAATGACTGTAATTCCATTAATTATTGTACTGGTCTAATTGTTTGAAGTTTAGAAACAGATAAATTTTGAGGCGATGTTGTCGTTCTTCTAACTATAGAGTTTACATCGCGTTTACAATTCTAGTAGTTTATTTGTAGGATGAATTAAGTCCTACAAAGTTTCTACCAGTATCTCACCAGAACTTCTCACGTTGAGTGCTGTTAAATGTTTACGAAGAAGAATCGAAAGACTGTTCAGACTCTTGAATTGCCGCCCCACTATACAGGAACTCATAGTGATGACGAATTTAAAGGAAACGGCTACCGAATAGATCTCTTGTTAGACCTGGAATTAGCTAAAGTACTTTTAGCTCAGATAGAAAGAGATATTGAGCTAGAAAGGTTAGGTCAAGATGGAAGAGAACATTATAATCAAGTTGTGGCTGACAGGGTGATGTTGTACGAGTCTACATCTGCTTCACGTGTAGTTGGTGTTCCTCCTGAAAGGAACTGCATCATAATGATATGTAAAGTTTAGACCTACCAAAGAGAGAGATCATAAGGTTTGATGGTAAGCCAATGACCTATTGGAGTTTTATAAGGAGTTCCGAAGACTGTTTTAATGAAAGCGCTGGATCCCGATCTAGGTTAAACTATTTGATTCAGTATTGTGATGGTGAAGCTAAGTCTACTATTGTTCATTGCTCAAGCCAAAAGAAGGTTATCGTAAAGCATTAGAGCTTCTCGAGGAAGCATTCGGTCAGAAGCACATAGTAGCCCATGCATTTATTGACAAGATGCTGAGTATCCCTGCTATTAAGGGGACTGATCCAGATAATTTAAAAAAGTTGTCTCGTGAGATGCATATTTATGAGCTAACATTCACGCAGATTAACCATATATCCGATCTGAGTTCTACAAAGACTATCGAATGTATGAATAAATAGTATATTTGCAGTATCCCAATGAGTAGGGAAATTAGATTTTCTGACGTTTCATGACTCAGTGCAATACAGAGAATACATAATTCAAAATGAATTCAAGTTTAAAAAGTACAACGAAAGAACAAGAATATAATGTAATCGATCAAAAAACACGTCTGAATTATTATTCATTCTCCAAAGAAGTGGCTTACACTGAATCTAATTTTACTACTAATTGGGATATTACAAATATATTATTTATTTATAATAATCTACTCAATGCTCAGTTTATTCGAAATTATCAAGTCATACGTTTTTTATGATAATCATATCGAATGTAGGCTTTTGAAACTGCCACCACACTTACAAAGTGAATGCGTTAAAGTGACCTTTTGAATTCTTAAGACTGGTCGAGATCCTTTATTTAAGGACCTCTGCAAATTTGTGAAGTAAGAGTCGGACATTGCTAACACTATGTATGGATTACTTGTCGGAGGAAATCTTTCGAATCGCAACCGGATGCAATCGTTTGCTGTTACTAAACCAATCCTTGATTCAGATTATAAAGCGAGAGTGTCGTTCGCTAACATCAGTGGGTCTGATGTCGCTCTACACGTAGGGCCAAGAACTCTTGGGTTACAATGTTTATTATGTACTGGAAACCACCATTTCGACCATTGTGAAAGGTTTAGAGATAAGGATCGAGTATCAAAGAAGTTGTGTAATGTCTGTCTGAAGGCGAACCACAGCAAGAAACTGTCGAGCACCGAGGTCATGTGCCGTCGAAGGATGTGGCTGGAGACACCATACCTTGTTACATAGGAGGCGGGAAGAGCAGAGAGATAGTAATAATAATGGCCATATTGATGCCCAACTCGGTACGGAAGAATGTGTTAAGCGTGTACAGAGACAATTAGCACTTAGAATAGTGCCTGTATTGGTAAAAATTTTGAGAAAGTGCGGTACAGACTTTCGCTTTCCTAGATGGCGAGGCTAGGCTTCCCGAATGTATTATACAGATAGCGAAGGGACAGTTTTACATTGACGATTTATTAACCAGGGTTGATACATTAGAAGAAGCTAAATTAGTATATTCTCAGCTGAAGGAAGTGTTACTTATAGGGGGGGGGTAATTTGACCAAGTGGGTCAGCAACAATGTTGAATCAATGAAGTCTATTCCAGAGGAACACCGTATAGAAAGAAACGTAGACATTTATTTATCTATGGAAAGAAATGAAATGACCCTAGGGAGAGAGTGGAATGTTCGAACGGGTAAGATCTTCGGGATGTGCGAATTCGGTGTGACTCCTACAAGAAGAACCATTTTGTCGTTTGTAGCTTTTATATTCGATCCAGATGTGTTTATAGGTCCAGTTGTTTTACCAGCTAAACTAATTTTACAAGATACATGTCGGCAAAATCTGGCGTGGGACACAGAGCTTCCTACGGGGTGCTTTATGATATGGGACTGTTGGCTTGGAGGTATGAAGCTCCTAAGTGAACTTTTACTTTCCAGATGTCTCGTACCAGAACCGTACAAACCACTGGCTACTCAGATGCATTGCATTGCCAATGCCTCAAAATTCGCATATGGTGTTGTGGCGTATGTTCGATTTGAAGATGTCTCTCATCAAGTGCGTTGTTCTTTTTTATTAGCTAAGTCCAACGTTGCCAAGCCAAAAACTAAAGCACCATCTGATAATGGTCCCAAATCAACTCTATGAAAGACTAAGGAAAAGAAGGTCATCAAGCCGAAAGTCAAGACACTGACCAGGCCTAAGGCCACTGTAAGAAAGAAGCCGGTAACTAAGACCCCGAAGAAACAGGCAGCATATTTTCGCCGTGGTATAACATATGGTGTTGAGAATGGCGCCTTAGTACGAATCTGATAGCTTGAAGGGATACAGTACTAGTCATAAAAAGATTATGTAAAGCTGGAACCAAAACAATATGGTAGATGATCCTTTAGAAAGAGGTTAGTAAAAATGGGCATTATGGCCAATAGAATAGTTATACCGTCTAAGGAATTATCTCTTGACGAAGCAAACACCTCCATCACCCGAAGAACAACTACTGTGAATTCTCAATGATCTCTATTCGTACCATAAAATTATGCATAACATTGGACATTCACTACTGCACTGATCAAACAAGTATGCGTCAATCCATGCCTTGTTCACTCGGTCATTCATTGATACAGTTGTTGAAGTGCAAACCGACTCGCTCTACCTCTTACCCTGTGTATAGTAGTCAGTAGCGTGTGACACATCATAACGACACTGGCATTTCATTGGAACACCAGTGTTAACCATCAATAGATGAATGTGAGTAAGAAGATATGACAACAAACTGAACATTTGATCATCCAATTGTCCTACTCATCAGTAGTATGGTTGACATGTGAAAGAAAGTGACCATGAAACTGACCGACCGAGAGACCGATTGAATGCATGATTGAATAATTCACTCACGCACCTCACACACTCACTCAAATCACCACTGACTAAATGACTGACTGACTTCTGACCGATGACTGACTGACTGACTGACTGACCAACTCTGCACTCACTTCCTCACTCACCCTCACTCACCTCACTCACTCACATCACTCACATCACTCCTCACTCACTCACTCCCTCACCACTCACTCACTCACTCACTCACTCACTCCCTCACTCCTCACCTCACTCACTCCTCACTCACTCACTCACACACTCACTCACTCACTCACTCCTTCACTCACTCACTCCTCACTCACTCACTCACTCACTCACTCACTCACTCCCTCACTCACTCACTCACTCCTCACCAGCACCTCACTCACTCACTCACTCACTCACTCACTCACATCACTCACTCACTCACCTCACTCACTCACTCACTCACCTTCACTCACGCATCAGACTCACATCCATCACCTCCCTCACTCACTCACGTCACTCACTCCACTCACCCACATCACTCACTCACTCACTCACTTGTGAGTGAGTGTGGGGACTGACGACGTTGGCAAGAATCATCTACGCTTCGTATCTGGATGTGTGAGGATGTTGACGTGTGTATCAGTGAGCGATGGTTTCGATGAAAATGACGGGATAGCGAAGGTGGTCCTTTAGGCACACCGCCTAGATGGACCATGAGACAGAATTTGATTTTTGGCGAAGTAACCACCTCCATTGCCCGACGAATAACTACTGTGAATTCCTCATGATCAACTCTTCTCACCATACAAGTGTGAACCAATCAACACACACTATGCACATCATTGGTCATTCACTATTGCACTGATCAAACATGTATGCGCCAATCCATACGTTGTTCACTCGGTCATTCATTGATACAGTTGTTGAAATGAAAACCGACTCGCTCTACCTCTGACCCTGTGTATAATAGTCAGTAGCGTGTGACACATCATAACGACACTGGCATTTCATTGGAACACCAGTGTTAACCATCAATAGATGAATGTGAGTAAGAAGATATGACAAACAACTGAACATTTGATCATCCAATTTGTCCTACTCATCAGTAGTATGGTTTGACATGTGAAAGAAAGTGACCATGAAACTGACCGACCGAGAGACCGATTGACTGCCCGACAGATATACTTCACTCACACACTCACTCACTCACTTCACTCACTCACTCACTCACTGACTCACTCACTCACTCACTCACTTACTCACTCATTCACTCACTCACTCACTCAATCATTCACTCCCTCAATCACATACCAGTTCACATGTCAGCTGACATTCACTAACACCGTTATAACAACAATCACACTTGTCAACAT